AAGGCACTTGTTACTACTAGCGTGGCACTTGTTACTAGTAGCGATGCACTTGTTACTACTAGCTTCTTGTTACTACTAATAAGGAACTTGTTACTACTAGCGTGGCACTTGTTACTAGTAGCGATGCACTTGTTACTACTAGCTTCTTGTTACTACTAGTAAGGCACTTGTTAACTTGTTACTACTAGCGTGGCACTTGTTACAAGTAGCGATGCACTTGTTACTACTATCTTCTTGTTACTACTAGTAAGGCACTTGTTACTACTAGCGTGGCACTTGTTACTAGTAGCGATGCACTTGTTACTAGTAGCTTCTTGTTACTATTAGTAAGGCACTTGTTACTACTAGCGAGGCACTTGTTACTAGTGGCGGGGAAGAGTGGCATGTTTTCTTGCTCAAATTGATTTGCCAATCTGGTGAACGATTTCAATCTGGATCAGTGCGACCGGTCACTAACATTAGCTACTCATTGTGTTCGGTCGTGTGTGGGAATTTATTGGACCGACCAAATCATGCCTGCATTTCAATGTGTTTGTGAATAAGTGTTTACTAGCAACTGTTGGAGTTTCAAGGTTGCCTTGAGAACTGTTCAGGCAAAATGTATAGAAAACTGCGGACTTTTCTTGAACCTCAAAGGCCTCATGCCTGGACTTCTGTACATGTTTCACTTGGAGTTGAGTGGATTTTGTTACGCACTCCTCCTTGGCACTTTGCAGCCTTCAGCTTACAGTGCCATCTTCTTAAAATGGGACTTCATTGCTGTCCATGAAGTTCATGTGTTTCTCCATTCGAGCGTACATCTCCGTCTTGCTTTCGTGTTCTCCCCGTTGGGTGAGTTCAAACCACCTTTTCTCAAACTGCAAGGCGTATTGCTTTGCTCTCAAGCAAGAACGTGCTCCAGGAGTGTCATACTGCATCACTTCATGGATCTCAGCGTCCGTCAACCACTTTGTTGTCGGCTTTGACAGGGTGAGGTCCTCATATTGTTGTCCCTCATTGTTGTTGGTCCCTGGGGCATTTGATGACCGCCCAGGTTCTTCATCTTCTTCCATAGGTGTTGGTCCCTCATCTTCACTTTCTGGCTCTCTCGGCTGCAAGTCACCTGCTCTCACTGTGACAACCTCTCCTGAATCCAGTCGGACTTGTACTTCATCGTCTGGATCATAGTCACCCTCTTCGCTCTCTGCAGCCGTCAAGGTGTTGTCTCTGATGTTCAGATGGAGTCTTGTTTGAGCTACATTTGCCTGGAGATATGCTTTGACCTGACCATCAAGTCTTCTCAAGTCAAACTCCCTGTTGGTGTCTTCAATGTAGCTCCAATGCCTCCAATCGTCCTCACCGAACTCCTTGTCATCGACATAGCCAGAGGCTTTGATCAATCCTCTGTGCACACGCTCCACGTAGCTCTTGAGCTTTGTCAGCCCTGCTTGAGCTTCATGACCATACGCTCCAACCATCATGCCGTTCACTTTCTCATCATCCGCCACGCTCTGAAGACTGGCTTCCATTCTCTCAAGCTTCTTCCAGAGCTGGTAGATGAACAGGATCATCACACAGATCACCATGACCAAGATCACAATGAGCAACTTCATCCAGCTGCTGCCTTGCTCAGCAGGCGTAGTCATGTCAACTTCACCTCTTTCCCCAGCCACGTGCTCAAGGCCTTCAAGAAGTAGGATCCGGTTCAGCAGCTTTGCAAGTCTCTGGATCTTGCTCTTGCTCACTGCTCTCTCTTCGAGGTTGTAGTGCTCCTCCTGACCAATCCTCTCACCATTTCCATTGTACATCTGGCACCAATGCAGAAGGAGATTCACCCTTGCTTTCGGCAGTGGTTTTGTGCCCAAGTCAGCCACATTGGAAACAGTGCCTACTGCTTTGACTTCAAGACTTCCTTGTGCCACCATATCCTGGATCCACAACAGCTTTCCAGCAATGTGTCGAAGTTTGCCTGGACCCTTTCGGTGACATAGATGAAGTGCCGCTGAGTTGTCAACCAAGCAGTATAGTGCATGACCTCCTCCTCAACAAGGAACTCAAGACATCTTTTCAAATAGATGCCATCTGCCGCTCCACTGACTAGTGCGTTCAACTCGGCCTCTGCTGAGCTCAATGACACTGACTTCTGGCCTCGAGAACTTGCCAGCATGACTGCTCCATTCAGCATGTGGATCGCCGCTGAAGTGGATCTTCGATGCCCTTTCGCTCCTGACCAGTCGCTGTCAGTGAATGTTTCTAGCAGCCATCCTGTGGTCGTGCTCCTTGTTGAATGTCCATGACCAGGATCTGGATACAGCAGTACCCAACTTCTTCAGGCTACCAGTCGTGGGTGCAGACATCGATGAAGCCAGCTCCTTGATGGTGAAAGACACATCCATTCTTTCCTGAGACAAGTAGATGCCACACCCAACCAAAGACCTGTACATGCTCGACAGCTCTCCGTTCAGCAATGTCGTGCCATCAAATTCCAGCATCTCTGGTCCACACGGCAACTTCTGAGTTTTCACTCGTCCCATCTTCTCCTCATACTGTTCCACCATGCTTTCAGCATACTTGCCTGGCAGGATTTTGAGTCCTTCTTCTACTTGCTCATATGTCCTCCTCAGGAAGGTAAAGGTCGTGCCATTGTCAGACAAGTGCTGTTCTGAGATGTCAAATCTCTTCCGAATGTCCAGGAGGAAGGTGTTCTCCATGTAGTCCTTGGTACTCACGTACATCACATCATCCACATGAATGAGAACCATCATCTGCTCATCCTTCCGACCTAAACATGGGTTGATGTCCGAGAACTTGAAGCCTCGCTCCTTCAGCCAATCTGTGAAGTAGTCGAACCATGCTTTGGCTCCCAGGCGTTGGCCTGGTAGGTTCCTCTTCACTTCATAGTACCCACGAGCTGTCTGCACTTGTGTAGGTTCTTCTTGGGGTACTTGAAGGAAAGCATCTTTGACGTCCATTGAACCCAGCCAATAAGGCTCACCTCCACTCTTTTCCTCCATCTTCTTCGTGAGGTAGATGATAGGAAGTAGGCGTAGTGTCTGACCGCCTGTTGCTGGGCTGCGCACGTCATCTCGTCTGTCCACAGCGTACTCTCGTGCCACCAATCTTGATCTTCTGAGGAACTGTTTGGGCGAGTTTGGAAGATCAGGTCGGGGCTTCACTCTCCAGTCTCTCACGAATCTGGTGGTCAGCTTCTTGAATCCAACCTTCTCCTCTTCCATCTTCTCCAGCACTCCCATGCTCAGCAGTCTCTGTTCTTCCACTGAATCTGCCAACTCATCGATCCAGAAAGGGGGATCTGGTGGCACCCTCTCCAATGAAGCTGAAGACCATAGC